GTAATGTTTCAAACACCAGGGAAACATTAGTAAAAAAAAATATGGTAATTGTTACAGGCCGGTAAGACAACTGTTAGTGAGTGCATGTCATTAAAATGGGCAAAGAGAATGAGCCCAATTATATCATGAACAAATGGTAATTCAGAGTTGAGGACCAGTGGAGATGTGTGAGAGCAGGGCTGTTGAGAAGAAGTGATAGGAATATTGAAGTGATCTGGGTAAACTGCCCTCAGGGAATGATGGAGAGAAACGGGATTTGGAAGAGAGAGCTGGAGTCAGAGGATAGAAAGAAAGAAAGCAGGTTAAACACACTTGTAAATATAGGAGGGGAAGTGTCTACCCAGAAACCAATCATGACTTCTAACTTGACTATGGCCTCTGTTAAATCATGATGAAATATCAAAATTCACATTTCAAATTATCTAAATTTCTCATCACTTTTTCCTCAACAGCAATCAACTTAACATCCTTATAAAAGATATCTTTTAAAGATTTGTTTTTTATCTGAAAGGCAGAGATATGGAGAGAAAAGAGAGAGAGACACAATTCGAAGCCAGGAGGCAGCAGATCTCCAGGTCTCTTACATGGTGTAGGGACCCAGGGATTTGAGCCGCTCTCTATGGCTTTGCCAGGATATAGTGCACAGCAACAAGACTGCTTTATGAAAGATTTTTTGTTGTTTTTAAGAGACCTGGAATGTACAAATGGGGAAATATCCTTTCCTTTCTTATGTTTTAGTTTTTAAAGACATGTTAAAAAGATATAAACAATGCAAAATTCTCGCATATCTTTTAAAGGACATTTCTCATGCAAACACAGTGTGCAATGATGAATTAAACAGAAATCTAGATTTATGTATGAAGAAACACTATTTACAAAGGACAGTGTCAGAAGGGTAAATGCATAGGGTGTAAAATGTACATGTTCCAGACTTATGCAAAAGGTTCCTTGTTGTTGTCATTGCTGCTTATAGTGGTATGCTATTTCCTGCCTAAGAGAGGAACAAACAAAACCAGGAGTTGTAAGGAGCCGACGTGGAGAGGTGAAATGGATTGGTGGTGGGGTGGCTGTAGAGCGGAAAGTGCTCTTGGCCCCCAGCGTCAGTCTGGCCCCGCTCTGGCCATCGGGGCCATTGGGAAGTGCACCAGCACATGGCAGATTTTTCTCTCTTCCTCTTTCTTTTTCTGTAATTCTAAATTTTTAGTATAGCAAACAGCTAAACAAACAAACAACAACAACAACCACTCTAGAACAAGAGAGCCTATGAGGCAACACAATCATGATGATCATGTTGTTGCCAATAAGTACTAAGTTGGATTCTAAAGTCTACATTTTGTTATTCAATCATAATAAAAGCATCGGGACTTTTTTCATCATTAACTAGAACAATCAACTTTATATCAAGTGTAAAACATTCCTGAGCTATTATTACAGATTTATACTTATTATTCAATGGCATGCAAAATACTAAATATGTGTGTTTTATACATTAATACTAAGACAATTTCTATCCATAAATGCAATAAGAATGAAACCCTTTTCCCTTTAGCTCTCTTTCATAACATGGCAACTTTACTGAAGCATTCTAGGTTTTTTTGGGTTGATTAATGTTACCAGGCAAGTGCCACTTAACTAAGGACAGGCTGGAACAGCTGTCATTTCTCTGAAGGGAAATCATTTTTCTTACCAGAACTCGGTGTTCTCGAAAAGTAATTGGCAAAACACATTATGAGTAATTATTAGAGAAATCAATATTATATGGAAGGAAGCGATAAATAAATCTTAATCCCACATTTACTTACTTCTGATACAAACAATGAAGCACAGGGTTTAATACAAACACAAAATAGCATATTCAATGTATATTCTTTTTTCCCCAAAAATAAATATTACCAGGAAAGCTGAGGATTGATTCTTCCTGTTTGTTATCAGGCAGTGATTTTTATAAGTTTCAGCTGCATGCTACCTTGTTGCAGTTCAAACCTGTCAAAGGTAGATTTTGATGACTTTTCAAATAGGAAAGGAGAAGGAAGCAGAGAAGTAGAGAAACTGCAGAAAAAGACCTCTTTTTGTTATGTTGGCTGAAGCTGCCTCGTTGAAAAATAGCTTTGAGTGCTGTGTGAGGACAGCTCAGCTTCGTGGGGCTTGAAGCTTATGTAATTATTGTGATTAAGAAAAGGAACATAAAATTAGCTGTGAAAGTAAACACCTACATATGTCAAATTTCAAAAAGTAGCATACTGTATTTTTTATAAGTGAATAACTTTACATGGAAATATAAGTTACAATATAATTATGACTAATTATCTGATTCCATCTCTTCTCTTTCCTGTTTTCTGGGCATACGCTCCTTTTTCCTTTAAAAGAAATGTTTAATTGAATTTATGAGATAAAATTATAGCTCATTTATATTGCAATTTACCAAAATTTACTTATTTATTTTTCTCTCCCTTTACCCCAGATTCAGAAAAATACAGAATGTGGAAATAATACTTACCCACTTTCCTGTAGCCCTTGAACCTTTGTGCCCTAATTAACCATGTAAAGATTATCAAAAATAAAAATCTAAAAAAAGCTTATTCACAACAAATTTCATTTTTTAATATTTAAACTTAGCAATTCATAGTACGCAAGCAAGATTTTACAGAACTTTGTGCATTTTAGGATAATCCAAACAGACTTATAACTCTAGCAATCCATACATTAATAAATTTAGTTTTGGAAAGAAAGAGAGATTCATTACTCTAATGACGATATCATACAAGGCAAGAACAAGACATAGCGAAGAGACAGGAAATTCATCTGGGTCAGCCCCACATCAGTGGTAGGGACTCAAGTTATTTAAGTTTTCACCTTTTGCTGCTTGAAGTTGGACTGATGTGGCGAAAGAGCTGGATCCCAGGCAGCCTGACTGGGAGTGCGTTTTCAGATATTCCAATCTGTTGTTTCATCCTCTCCTCTCCACTGTAATTTTATTTTTAACTGAGAGCTCAGGACTGTATTTTTTTTTTTTGGTTTCACAACATGTAATTAGTAGTGTCAAATAAGGGGTTATGATCATTTGGCCTTATGGGAAATAGTTACCAACTGTTTTCATAGTTCGGCGGTCACTGCAACGGTCTAAGAGGAAGTTTGAGTATAAAGTGTGTGTTTACTTCAATGACACACGTCATAGAAGAGGTTAGAGATGCAGGAAGACTGGGGGAGCCTTCTAAGCCAGATAAGAATTCCTGTCTTTGATCTCAGAAAAATACTAAGCTACTATATGGTATTGAGACAATACCAATGACAGAACTTTACTAAACATTCTAATATTTTTTTCTGTAGGTTTATTGGGCACGGATGGAACAGGAAAACAAGTTTTTTAAAAAAAGACCGTTGCAACAACAAAACATATTATGAACACTTGAATACAATTATTTATCTGAAAGGCAGTATTACAGTGAGGGAAAGACAGAGGGTGAGGGATGTTCAAGCTGTGGGTTCATTCCCAAATGGCTGCAACAGCTGGGACTGTGCCCGGCTGAAGCCAGGAGCCAGGAACTCCATGCAGGTGTCATACACATGTGACAGATGCCTCAGTGCTCGGGCCATCTTCCGTTTCTCTGCCAGGTGATTCATCAGGGAGTGGCACCAAGTGCAAACAGAACTCCACCTGGCACAGAGAGCAAGGGATGACATCATAGGCAACAGTTTTAATTGTACCACAATGAAGCCTCTCTCTTACAAAAATTTGAACTAGCTATTTTGGAATATGTGACAGGAACCATTGGTCACCACTCTAATACATATGTAACAATTTTGCTAACTTTCAGTGTAGTCAGCCCCTGTCCTCGTTCTTAAACAATGGAGGTAATCTCCATTATTTATTGAACTGATACCTGAATCACCTACAGCTTATGGTGATAATAGAGAATACAACATCATGTTAATAGCTTAGTAGAAATTTAGCAGTCACTTATCCAAAATATAATAATTGAATTATTCTTGGTCAGAATAACCAAGTTTGACTCTTACATATTGTGAGGGAATGCAATGTTTGTGTTATCATAGTCTTTCTTCCCAGGAGATTACTCCTACAGTACAAAAAGTTGATCAACAAAGTGCTATAATTGTTCTAGCAAGTCAAAAACATTCATATAATTCTTTTTTCTTTTTTTACAGACATTGACTAATGAGGTCCAATATTAATACGAGGGTCAAAATAAGTACATTTCCTTACTTTGCATTAATGAGTCTTAGGGAATATTCGTAATAATTTCAAACCACTGGAAAGCAAGTTACTGTCCTGATTTCTGTGGAGGAATCAAAGTCAACCAATCTGTTCTATTTTACGTGAATTAGAGCAGACTTGCAGGAGCCTGGAGACAGGGGAGATTTTCTTAGTAATCTTGAAGCTGAAAATAAATAAATAAATAAATAAATAAATAAATAAATAAATAAAAATTGAATTCTTCTAGAACATAGCACACAACGTAGAGGGCTGCTTTTATCCACCTAAATTACAAACATTTTCCCTTCCACTCATTTTTCTATAGAAAATAATACGATGACTGCACGTAGTGCATCCCTTATCACCTGCACTGTTTTGATTATTTCAGTTCTTAAAGGCCTTTTTTTTTTTAAACACTGAAACAAGCTTCAAATGTATTCTTGTCAGTCACACTGCATCATGGTCAGGGCAGCATTGTTGGCAGGTGTTCTGATGATGTGTTATTATAGGGTACCAAGGAGTAGCGTCCCCCTGATGATTTATTGATGCTGCTATAAAACAGCATTGATAGAGAATCAAATTGGGCCAAAGATTTATTTTGTCATTTGCAATATTAAATAAACGCTTTTTGGTTGAATTCTGTCATCACTTTTAGAAATGGAACAGCTTCTTCCTGTCACCTACTTAAGGGCTCATGGGCGTTAAGTTAAATAGTGTTTATTAAAATTAGCACCACATATTATTTTATGATTTACAAACGTATTTTTAATGAAACATATAAGTCTTTAGAAATATGGAACATTTCATGAATTTGCTTGTCGTCCTTGCGCAGGGGCCATGCTAATCTTCTCTGTATCATTCCAATTTTAGGGTATGTGCTGCCAAAATGAGCACCAAATGTATTTTAACGTCACATGCCACATAGTGATTTTATAACACAAAGGGTATAAACTTCCTTTAAGTGTAAAGTGGTGATACAGTAAAACAGGACAATGGACTTGTAAGTTAATTGCTTATGATTTTTACGTATACACATTTAGCTACTTTGTGTGAAAAGTATAACTTGCAAGAGTATTGCTATTTTATACTGGAAAACATAATATTGAATTTAGCTTACTTTTTGTGCACTAGATATTTATTTTTTCTGCATATTAAATTAATCATGAAGAAAGTAGTAAACATGTAGTTACTGGAAAAATTAAATTTTTAGTTTAGTCAGGTTAAAAAAAATCAGGTAAGACCAACTAAAAATGTTATTTCTAATTAAATATTCTTTAAAGAAGTGAAATATAATATTTGTGATTAAATCAATCAAAATCTGTGAGGATCTGCTAGATGTACTTTTCATACATTGGATATATAAATTTTATTTAATGTCGTTTAATATATATAGCAAACTTCATGGTGAAATTTCTCTATGAATTATTAAAGATCAGTTAGGTAAAATTTATACTTAGGTAGCACTAGAACTATGTATATTTTTACTTCATTTTCTAATTACTTGCTGCAAATCAAAGAAAATGCATCCATTTTAATATCATGACAAGTAGTGTACTTTGTAAAGTGCAGCAAATTCCATTCTATCTTATTAGAAAAAATTTATATGATCTAAGATTCACATGGACTCTATAGCATATTTTTTCCTTACATCTTTATAGTTTTTATTTCTTGCTTAGGTTATAAAAACCATTTGGCAACTGGACTACCTGAGAGATCCCAGCAAAAATTTTAATTGATACATCATGACACCTGTAGCTAGGCAGAAAGTATCAGCAGATAAAGGGAGATGGTAGCATTATCCCTGATGTCAAACAATAGAGAAGCTTGGTTACTACAGGTGTCTGGGTAGAAACAGAAGCTGCAGGCATAGTAGACGTAGCAATTGAGAAATAAACTGTAAGCAGGAGATAAAAGGCTTCACTGAGCACCCTGAAATAGCTCTAGATGCACTGGATGACTTCAGCTAGAAATAATACAAAGTAGAATCAGCTAAGACTGAAAGACTCAAACTTGATTTTACAGAGGGGAGTGAAAAAAAAAAAACCACCTCTGGAGTTACTAGTGGGAATCGCAGAGGGCACTCTGAATTCCCAGTATAAAAGTCAGTGTGGGCTGAAACATCCAAAAGCAAGAACCAGTATTGGTTGAAGGACCGTTAGGAAAAGCCACTGTTCCTGCAAGGACAGGAGGTGAACTAAGTAGGGCTGGCTCATGGACCCATTGGCATGCTCGAAATCTGGCACTCGGAAGGGTTCTGATGGAGTATCCTGGGCAACTCCTCTGGCAGGACACAGATCCTGCAGGTAAGCGCAAGAAGCATGGAAGAAAACAGCCAAGAGGTCATGGATAGTGTCCCAGTAGCACACATTTGGAATGGGTTGGGGCAGACCAGGCTGAATCAGTTCACGTCATCCACTGGCAAATCCGAACACCGGAACAGAGTGTGGGTCGAGCCAGGTATGGTTGTGACAAAAGCAGTACTCAACACAGAATGCCAAGGTGAGGTTGCCTGGACGAGGTGTGACCGCAGCACCCAACCAGCACACGTGAGAACCAGGATGGGAGGGGGCAGAGCCGGCAGGAAGAATTAGGGGGGTTCCCTTGCTGAACATCTACTCCCACTGGAGAACATGAGCTGGGATGGGGGTAGACCACACTAGGCAGGGCTACAATACCTGTGTGCCTCATGTGGACCAGATCAGGGAAAAGCCAGGATGGGCTGATTATTCCTACTGGTGCAATCTACAATTAGAGTGGGTGAGGGTTGTTGGGGCTTAGCCACAGCATCAACTGGCAGAAGCTGGCACTGGGAGCTAATTCTGTCAACCACAGAACCATCTGGAGAGTGCATAATCTGGGAGTGGGAGAGGCCTGGGAGGGAAATAGTGGGCTCCTCCCTTTTAGGTTACCACCCCCCATGGGAGGGCAGGAAAACTAGGACAGGGGTTGGGGTGGCTAGACAGAGAGACACCCAACAACATCTGTGAAGGCTAGATAGTTGAGCTGGTTAGATGGAACAGGTTTTAATACCCAGTGACATGTATGAGAGCAGAAGAGGATGTGAGACAGACTGGACTAGTCTGCCACACATACTGGCAAACCAGGGTAAGTGGTGGGCCTGGTGGGGGTTATTGTGGGTCACTCTGACTAGGTTGCAGCTCCCACTGGTTTATGTGAGGGCCAAGTATGTGCTGGGCAGAACCAGGCTGAACTGCAACACCCATTGGTTCCAGTGGAAGACAGGGATGGAAACAGAACCAACCCAGCAACTGCAACCACCAGCTGATCGGGGCAATGGATTGTCCTGGGCCCTGTGCTTACTAGTGCATACAAGAATCTGGTCTGGGAACACCACAGACAAAGTTTCTTTGGGGATCTCCCCAGTCAAGCTTTTGGACTCTGAACCCTAACCATGAAGACAGAAGACATAACAAGTCAATCAACCACCTCAGCTATATGTTGGCAATGAAAATACTGGGCAAACAGAGAATCTATGATGGACTGTGTCAATCAGTGGATTCTCCAAAGACCTCATAGTGCTTGGAGTGGTGAGAGTGGCAGCAATTCAGAACTATTGAACTATCAAAACCACCTGAGCAAGACCCTTGGAGCATGCCCCACATCTGGGACCTGGGTGGGTGGGAGACTGGGTGGGGCTTCTCCCTTAAAATCCCTTTTTACATCAGATATATTAAGAAAACAATACGGAACTAATTGTCTTGCCCATCTTCCTGTAGTGCTTGAACCTTTTTTCCCTAATTATGTCAAGATTGTCAAATTAATTAATTAATTAATTAATTAATATTTAGAAAAAAAGAAAGTCAGTGTGAGAAAACATACAATATTGGGAAATCCACATGGAAGTGCTGTTCTGGAAGGCTAAATTTCAGTGAAATTTTTTTTTTAAATTATGAAATTTGTTTATTATTATCATCAACAGTGTATAGTATTTCAAAAACATACAATAAGCAGTTATTGATGTTAACAAATATACGTTGTACAGCAAATTCCACTGTATTTTCCTGTAGGAGTAAAGAGTAAAAAGACAAGATGCATTTTTTTAGTGATTTTTTTCTTAAACATGTAGGACTTTGTCATACTTTGAACTTGATGAGTGAGATTATACAGTACTTCCCTTTCATGATTGTTTTGTTTCATTTAGTACAAATATTCATGAGGTTCGTGGATACGATTCAACTTTTTTTGCTAAGTACTTTCTTATATCTGTAGATGAAAGCCTATCATTTTAATTCTTCATTTTTTAAAGCGGAAAATGACATTCACAGATTTTATTTTATTGAAACATCTCATCTGCAAAATAAATATCAATCAATTGTTGGAAATAATCTGTATGTTTTCTGGACCCTATTTGTATTTTGTTGAAGATTTTCACAACTATGTTCATTGTAGAATTTGGCTTGAATTTTTTTTTTACTGTTGTAATGTCTGGTTTGAGTATGAGATAATACTTACCTCAAAATAAATTTCCCTTCAGGTAGAAGAATTTGAATCAGGATTGGCATTCATTTTTCCTCACTTTTTTAGTAGAATTCATCCGTGAAATTATCTGGTACTGGGCTTTTCTTTTGTGGATGTGGCTGATTTAATCTGCTTGTTGCTTACCAGTCTGTTTAGATTTCTACCTCTTTGTTACTCAATCAGTATAGGCTGTTTTTTTTTTTATCAAAAAATGACCAATTTTTTACATTATTAAATTACTTTTTGCAAAATGAAGCTTCTCGTGTAATCCTGCATCCGTTTGGGAAGTGTCTGTCCTCTCCAGTTTCCAGAAAGGTGATTGGGTTTTAGCATAGAAACCCAAACAGCTTCAGATGTAACTTCATACAAGAGATAAGATTCCAGCTCTGTGCGTTACAGAGACCATTCCAGTTAGACTGTGGCTGGTGAGTTAGGATCTGGGGCTTCACTGTCAAAGCCTCCATCCTTTAAATATAGATTTGGGAACATATAAATAATAACAAAGCATTTATATTTATAAAGTGATGGGTTTCTTGGATTGGATGAAAATTTGATGAATATTTATGTCAGCCAGTTTTTGTTAGTCATTGAGTCTTATTCCTCCCATATCTGTTAAATCCTCTCCAATTCACCTAATTTAACTCTAAGATAGTTATTCTAAATACAATCATGAGCTTTGAAGTTTATGTGCCTAAATTGTTTAAGTTATTTGATAACTCATCAACTTCAACTCTTAAACTCAATTTTATCTGTGTCATCTTGGCAGTGGTGTTTTGCTAACATGCCTTCCAACTTAAAACTTTTCTTCTGCAGTTTTCATTGTTAAAATACCAAGTTCAAGGGCAAGTACTTTTTGTGTCTTTCAAATATAGATTTTTCTTACACAACTGCCTTGCTTTAATGAAAAAGTTTGTACAGAAAATGACCTATGTCCATTTTCCTTCATCATCTCCCCAGAGAATCTTTAATTTGTTCAAAATTCACTCTGTTCACATCCCTATGTTCACACGGAGAACAGTGATGAACTCTGCCCATAGCTTGACTTAATTCAGCTTTTGTAATTGTGACATAACAGGCCAATTTGTACAACTTTATTTTGTTTTTTTAGTAAAAAATAAACTCAAAGAGTTTTCTGCTTTCCGGATACTATAGTAGAAAGTGGTAATATTACTTAATTAGCAGCATTCATTTCCTTTCCTATTTTTTTTCCTTCATTCTGTTTGATGTCTTATGGGTGCCCCTTTATTAAAAGGCTTTTTGAAAACACCAAAACAGGTGCATAAGCTTTATTAAGTGGCTTTTATTTTCAGTTTAGAAACAGAGTCTAAGGCCACTGTTCTTTCGGCTGAAGAAATATCCCCAAAGACTCATAAAACTTGAGTGTACTAGATCGTGAAATTTACATTGAAAGCACT